TCCTTAACTCGTTGGACACCTCGGTATGTTCCCTTGTCAGTGTACTTGTAGTTCCTACGTATGACCTTTAAATTTATATGGTAACAATAATTACGCAAGTCGAATAGTTTTGCGTTGTTTTGTTCAAAGTCAGAGACTCGTAATTTTCTCAACCTTGTTACATACATACAGTGTATGTAATACACTGTAATTATACACTGAAGCAATTATCATAGTACTTCAGAATTTATTTATGAACTGAGATTATAAATTTTAGAATTTAAAAATTCTAAAAAAAACATCACGATCCATCTCTTGAATCATCAGCAGCATCATAGTAATAGCAATATCTATGCACTGCGCATCGGCAAGTCTGTACCCGGAAGAAAACGAGAAGTGTATATTTAAGTAATTATGTAGGCATATTTTAGGAATATTTATTATTATGTATAAGTTAAGCTATACAAGTCATAAGTTTTGCGTCCATGGCTGCCCCATGTATCTAATATGCGATAATTTGGGTAACACTTATAAACCCATAATTTGTTTCTACTCCAGGGTGAAGACTTATACTTATTGTATTTTGTACCAACTGTTTGCACATATTTTTCTACAGGGAATTTAGAACTTGACCAAATGTTGTATAGTTAGGAAATATATAGATAAAATGACGGCCCAGTCTGATCTACGTACTTCTTGGTAGAATTTACTAACGCGGGGGAATCTGTTGCAAATTTTATTCAGTTGAGCGTTTTTTCTAGTTATGAGCTACTAACAGTTTTCTGAATATGAATTACATTGTTGACAAACCATTTATTCAACTAAATCTAATCATAAAGTTTGAAGGCGGACAATTACATATGTACCAACATATTTACTATTTAAGTGCAGACGAACTAAAAAATACGATATATCAGGTAGGATATCTAATATTTAACCAAACTAGATTTAAACTAGCATCCAGTGCAGTAACATTTTAACCAACTGCAGTACCCTCCCGTACGTCCATCCCCGCGGCAGATATTAGCGCAGGAGTTAGTGTCCATACAAACTGCTTGAGAATGTCCGGACATTTTTGGCCAGCATTCACCTGTACGTAGACCAAAGTTTTAAATGTGACCAGTAGAAATATATAAACGAGTAGTCAACATTTTGAGATATAATTGTTGAGAATTCTTTACGCATTTTCTCCCAATGTCCGCCGAATCGCTAGCGAATAGCGAATTCGCCCTTGATCAGGGTTCGGAAAACCCAGCGGTTTCTCCTGGGTTAAGCGGTTTTTGTGAGTTTTTGTTTATTTTAGAGCGGGTTGAAGCAAAATTCATAAAGTCACATATTAGAGTAAAACTAATTAAATATTCGAATCCAGCATGAAAGTTTAAATATCTTCATTGCCTAGGATATTTTAAGTCAAAATTTCATGTTTAACATGAACAAAAACCACAAAAAGCACAACTCACAAAAACCCAAGGGTACCGAACCTTGCCTTCGATTCGGTGGGCATTTCGTGTAGAATTCTCAGCGAATATATCTCAAATTTTTAAAATGTTATCTGAGCTATTTGCTTACCTTGCTCTGGGCTAGCCATGCTCGAGTGAATGAGAAGGGAACAAATAAAAATCAGAACAAAAATCAACTTGGCCATTATGCCCTGTATCGCGATGATGAAAATTGCTGTCAATTCTTGCTTGTTGAATTTTCAACTGATGATCTGCCTGCTTGTGCAGCCTTATTTTATACGAATCTTGTATGATTATGATCTGAACCTGTTCCCGTCTCCAGGAATGTTTGTGCCAATCCATTAGCTGCGTAAATTTGTGAATAGAAATTAATGTGTTGCAAGCACACCATCTGGAAAACCCAAATGGCTTTGTTTGGTTCTTTGTTGGGTTTTCGTACATTTTGGGACGAGTTGGAACCAACTTGTCGAAAATGCATGTTGGATTGAAACAAATTCAATATTCAAGAACTTTCATGAATTTTCATATCTGATATGAACTTAAAAAGATAATTTTTAACATGTAAGCCAAATCAGAAACGAGGATTTGCAGCAAAAGATGAATTCTCCACCTGCTAGCTCAAGTTGCATATGAAAATGTTCAAATTTTCAGGCTAAATTCGAATAATAAATTACCGTAAAAACTCAAATAGTAGCCGGGGGCTACTACATATTTATAAAATCGGTGGCTAGGACCCGGCTACTATTTGGGCAAGGTCACTATTTACAAAATTATGAAAATAGACCCGGCTACTATTTGAGCACGGCTACTATTTGAGCACGGCTACTATTACCAGGTGGCCCACTGAAACTGTACGCTAAACAAGACGCTATTGCTTTAACAGTTTTTGCGTTACAGAATTCTAGTAAATTTTACTCGAAGGCCAGTTAATTTCTGATTAGAAAACAGTTTTTAGTTTCGAAATTTCCTCCCCCCGCAACAATGCAGCTCTCAAGACGCCGCCTGCAGTCCTTTTCCGAAGCACGCACTGAATTCGTGGACATAGTGTTCCATTTCGTGATCAAAAAAAATTTTCAGACCTCTAAACTTCTATGAGACTTAGAACACACCTTTGCCCCTAACTTTGACCATTTTTCATATTCCGGTGATTCAAATCCAGCAAACATGATGACCATTTCTACTTGGAGATAAAGACCTGAATTTGGTTTTTTAGCTACGCGTGGGTCATTTTTTGCACTATAAATTCGTGCTGAGTCCTGCTGAGAGGTCCCATCGATTCCATTGAATTGGATGTCGCTTAGGGGATGTACCACGGACTCAAAAACATATTTTAAGAAATTTAATTCCCCCATCTCCCCCCAATTTTCAGCAAAATGTAGAGAAATTACCCCAATTAGCTCCCACCCGTCAAAATCATCAAAAAACCTGGATAATGTGACTTTCTGACCTTTTGTCTATATTGGGGGCTGTCTCTGACCGATTTTGCGTAGATTAGGCCAACTCGCTTGTTAAAACATTTTTCCGATGTGAAAATCTCCTCATTTGTAAAAATAATCCTGCTCACTTTTTTGGAGCGTACCGCTTGAGGTGACTGCTGCATTTCTTTAATCTAGCCCCTTTGGGGTTTGATCAGGCTGTGGCAAGTACCACATTTAAAAGTCCTAAGTCTAAGGTTCAATTTGAGCACTCATTGGATAATTTGCATCGACACTGTCAGCAGTGAGCCCGGTTTCCGTTGGAATTCCGTGAATTTCTTCGGATTCCAGGCTTGAGAGGCTTCTCGATGGGTGTGGTCCTTGGAGGTTTTCAAAAAATTCTTCTTCGACTGTCCTAAGTCGACATGATCCCCATGAACGTTTTTATAGTCCGTTGGACTAAATTAAAGTTCACGTTAGATTCCCGTCACACTTTTCGAATTCGCTATTTCTCGTCCCAGTTTTTTGGTGAAAAATTATCGCCGCCCGTGTCTCTTCAATATTTTCCCTGCTGGTATACTTTGCAAGATTTTACAAATTGATCAATGTTATTCATGCAAAATCGGATGAGGAATCTAATGCACATATCAGATTTTCATTATTTCCAGCGGTTTTAATGATAAGCGCTAAGTACAGCTACAGTGGGCCCAGTAAGTAGATCAACGGCTATTATTTGAGTTTTTTACGGTAGTTCTACCTTAACATGTACATACATATTTTGACAACGTAATCTTACAAAAGCGCAAAAAAACCCAGCCCAGCAAACCTCGCGTAGCATATTTATTTACCCTGCCCCAGATTCAATTAACCATGCTGATTTGAATTTCTAGAAGTAATTTCTTTTGTGTTTCCTCATTACATATACAACACCGTTTTTCTCCGAGTGAAATAAAATCAGCAGAATATTCTACACCAGCAGTTAATGAATATTTACAAAGCTTAATTAAAACTTATGAAACAGCCCTCATAAGGTAGTCAATAAATGGTATGATTATGATGCATTTACTCATTACGACTAAGGGAAAAATGGTCACATTGGCTATGCATCATCTATTACGACAAAAACCCATATCGCACAGTTTTATGTGTAGCTACTTATGCATAATCATATCTGTTCACTTTCATTAAAATGGGTGACAGTGATGGTCAAATTTAAAATTTAACGTATACAGTTTTCTCAAAATTTTGAAATAAAAAAACTGCTCCCTTTTTCATACCCGAAACGATGGAGACACTGTCTTCAAACCTGTATGTGTACATATGCAGGGTGGTTTAAATGTCAGGTTACAATGGCAAATTTTTCAGTTGGGAAAATTCAAAAATTTCCATTAGTTACCGAAATTTTGCCTTATTTATTTTATTTTGTTTAGAGACATATTTATATGTATTTATATCATCTATTACGTACATATGCCAAAATGCATATACCAAAATATTTTTGTAGTTCCTACGTATGACCTTTAAATTTATACGCATGCTTATGGTAACAGTAAGTCGAATAGTTTTGCGTTGTTTTGATCAAAGTCAGAGACTCGTAATTTTCTCAACCTTGTTACATATGTACCCTGAAGCAGTTAGTATTTCAGAGTTTATTTATAAACTCAGATTACAGATTAGATTCTGTATAAATTTTAGAATTCACAAATTCTATAAAAAACATCTCGATTCATCTCTTGAAACATCAGCAGTGTCATATATATTAATTGAAATACAAGATCTGCATGCTTTTGTATTTGAATGTGTTTATGTAAGCAAGTTATGCATTTCCATTCGAAAAACATGAGGTAAATAGCTACATAGCTTTAGGCATAAATTTGTTGACAGCCTGTCAAAAAATAATAATTTAATTTTAACTTTTATCACGGTTGAGACTCAAACCATTGAAAATCATTGGATTTTGGTTGCAATATGCACTAAAGGTTCCTGGTGATTGTACAAAAAGAATTTGAAAATTCTTCAGATTTTTCAATGATACATGGTATTTAACAATCCCATCAACAAGTTATTTAGAGTGAGCATACATACACATACATTTGTAGGATTAATTTGGGTAAAAATTTATTTAAATTTCACGAAAATAAATTAAATAACATAAATTTTGAGAAAATTCACGTCAAATTTCGTACATCCGTAATTTTCTGAGAGGTTATTTGGTTGCTAATTGAAAAATAAATAATCTGCCAGGTAACCATTCAGAATTTTGAATGAAGGTTGACGTGAATTGGCTCATATATATCACATTAGTTCCAAATACATAAATGCACAAAATTAATCCGTGCAATTTATTTCAAGTAAATCTTGGGAATTAGTAAATTATCCACTTCCTCTTCTGGAACCGTGCTCACGGCAACGTTATGTTTCCCAGGACACCATGAAAATTTTTTAACCAGTTTACGATCATGTTCCTAAAATTGATTTAAAATTTACTTGTTTATTTGCAAGACAACTATGGAGCATAACTGTGCAAATTTATGTATTCAATACAGAATTAATTAATTATTCATTCAGTACTCGATAAATGAATGGATATTTTTTTTTAATTTTTGATTCATCGAATTTTGAATAAATGTTTATTCATTTCGTATTCATGAAAAATGAATACGTAATTTTATCATTATTCATTTTTCACCCTACTATATGCTTATTTAATATATGGGAGCAAACTTTGGAATAAAATGAATGCTAATAAATAATTATATGTTTCTGAATTTTGAATAAATGAATAACGAATAAATATTTTTTTTTAATTTTTAAACTGAATGAATTTTGTAGGAAGAAATAGTTTAGAGGAAAAAAGTATTTATGACGTGAACTTACTGGCAAGTGAATTTTGATGAAGGTCAATAACCGGTCCTGAAAATTGAAACATTTCGCCATTTCCTCCCTTTTCATAAGTGTAGCGCGAAATTCGTCCGTCTCAAGGAGTTGGACACGAGTCAAGAGGTTTTTCTTGTTTTTAGTTCCAATGACCAATCTCTCCGCGCCCGAGACGACTGCTTGCGCCCACAATTTTAAATTGAGCTCTAAGACCAGGGAAGCGTTGTTGTTTTTGAATTCAGTCTGATCCGCGGAAAGAGTGACTTGCACATAATTTCCGGAAGAGTCTTGAGCATCCACATTGTTCAAGAGGAGAAGCGTATGCGTGCCAAATTGTACTTTTTGAATGACAAAAACCTGTAAATTTTAAGTGGGTGGTAAAAATGGTAAGTGGCAGAAATGGTACTTTGTGTTAAGAGATACTATTTACTAGGAATTTTAGTCATTGGTTGGTCTTATTTAGCAGTTTTCACATTTTGAATTTATTAGACGTGAGTCTAACAGCGGTTTTAAAATGCTCGACTCTCTCATGCCTGGTTCGTAAAACGTTTGGTCAGGCTCGATTCGCAATAAAACTCAATTAATTCCCAAAAACCTCGTTTCTCAAAAAGCTCGATCCATACAAAGCTCGTTCAAGCTTGATTTGCATAAAACTCAAAATGCCTCGGCTCGCTCGAGATCGCGTCAGAAAAAGCTCAGTCGAGCTTCGCTGAACATGAAAAAGCGGGTTGCGGGCATAATGGGGACAACGTGGTACTGGACAAGACAAAATACGGATAAAAAATACGGACAAGAAAAACTTGGACAAGGGTGCAATATGGACAGCACTATAATGTGGAAAATTTATATATTTTCGTGCTGCAAATCTTCATATAATTTCTTGAAATCTATTGTAGACCTACCCACGTTCATTCACTTGTTAAATTCTAACTTCTTGTAGATCTTACTGCGTCCTCTAAAATTATTAAGGGGTGAAAGCCCTTTATAAGATCGTTATGTCCGTCTGTCTGTCCGTCCGTCCGTCCGTCCGTCCGTCCGTCTGTCTGTCCGTAGCTCCGATAACTTTTGAACGAAAAGACATAGACACTTGAAATTTTGAACGTAAACTCCTAACGTCAATGGACAGGACGAGTTCGAAGATGGACACTGTGACATCGTCACCTGTGACGATGACATCGTCACGGTGACGAAAAGTGACGAAAAAGTGTCACTTGTCAGTTTTGACATGTGACACATCATTTTTAACTATTTTTCAATGAGGAATTCGAAAATTCAGGTCATTTTGCGGTTGGACGTCACCTGTGACGATGACATCGTGACGGTGACGAAAAGTGACGAAAAAGTGTCACTTGTCAGTTTTGGCATGTGACACATCATTTTTAACTAATTTTCAACGAGGAATTCGAAAATTCAGGTCATTTTGCGGTTGGACGTCACCTGTGACGATGACATCGTCACGGTGACGAAAAGTGACGAAAAAGTGTCACTTGTCAGTTTTGACATGTGACACATCATTTTTAACTATTTTTCAATGAGGAATTCGAAAATTCAGGTCATTTTGCGGTTGGACGTCACCTGTGACGATGACATCGTGACGGTGACGAAAAGTGACGAAAAAGTGTCACTTGTCAGTTTTGGCATGTGACACATCATTTTTAACTAATTTTCAACGAGGAATTCGAAAATTCAGGTCATTTTGTGTTTGGACGTCACCTGTGACGATGACATCGTCACAGTGACGAAAAGTGACGAAAAAGTGTCACTTGTCAGTTTTGACATGTGACACATCATTTTTAACTATTTTTCAATGTCAAATTCAATGGTGACCTCCATTTTGACCTCAGAGGTCATGTAAAGGTCACATAAGGGTTATCAACTGTTAAATTTGACACAAATAAGACACAAAAGTCGAAAACACGTCAGAAGTGTCAATCTTAACAAATTTTCGAACAATTTGATATTCACATTGACGTATGACACTCCTTTCACCCCTTGGTTACATGCGTTGTAACGGTTTATTATGATGAAAACTAATACTTCTCTTCTTAATTTTGTTGATTATCAAAATTGCAAAAAGGGACAAGCGCGTGAGATCAGAAATAGGCTAAGATCTTTAAGATAGTTTATCGATTTTTATTTAATGACTCATGTATTGTTGGGAAGTAACAAAGTAGCCTATGTATTTCAGTATTTCCCAAAAACGCATCCTTATATAAGGATGCGTCGCAAATATATATATATATATTTGCGATCACCAAAATGTAAAGGTCAGCTTTGAATTAGCAAACTCCGTAACTTGAGTAGTCAGTAGTTGCTACGTAATATATCCCTAGGCCTGGAACAGGTGAATTAGCGTACTATGTGAAAGTTAATCAGCGTTTAAACTTTCTGGTTTCAAATATTTGAGATCTACAATTATTAAGGTTCCATAGATGACGCGTTGGCGCGTAATCTCACTCTGCCTCTATCCATGTATTCAAATGCAATTTCTAAAATCGAATCAACTCAATGAGTTTTGAGATAAATGCAACTTTTGATATTTTAATCTATAGCTAATTTTTGGTACTACAAACAAGTCGATTTGAAAAAAATTAAGAAATTAATTTTCATGAAAATTTATTGTGAAAAATTGGCAAACGAATTTTTTAATTTTTTTCAAATCGACTTGTTTATAGTACCAAAAATTAGCTTTAGATTCAAATATCAAAAGTTGTATTTATCTCAAAACTCATGGAGTTGATTAGATTTTAGAAATTTCATTTGAATACATTGGATAGGGGCAAAGTGAGATTACGTCATCCCTGGGAACCTTAAATTAGCGTTTGTGAAACTGGCATGTATATGTAAAGGCGAATTGTATAAAATTACAGACCTACAACACTTATTTTTTATGAGTTTAATTTAAATAGAAATTTCCACCATTAGTGTGTCCTTATTTTAACGTTATCCAGATATTTTTTATCTTCATTTTTTTTGTCCGTATTATGGCATCAATATAGTGGTTTGTCCTCATTATGCCCTAAACCCTGAAAAAGCTCCCATTAGCTGAGCATTTGGCTCACTTATTACTAATAAGTATTACTAATAAGTAACTTATAAGTATTACTTGTTACATTTGCCCAAATTAGTAGGAATAATTATGATATCGTGTGGAATTCAATATTCAAATTGAACATTAATACAAATTAACGTTCGTGAAGATCGGGAAAATTTTTAAGACTTGATAATTAAAGTAAGTAAATTGTACACCAACTTTTTCAATATCGTCCTCAGGTAGTCCGTCTTTGCCCTTTCCGGTTGTCAAATTTTCAAACAGACACCCCATAAATTGTCTCGCATAGTGGAATGATTGTGATCTTGGTCGAGGAGTTTTCTCATCCCAGAGATAAATCGTTCCGTTTACATTCATCGCGTAGGTGTCCCATTCGCCAAACGTCTGGTTCCAGATAGTCTTCAGTGAGCGGAGAATTCTCCCGTGAAATGAGATAAACTGGACTTTCCCCTGGAAATTTTAGTTTTGTAACGAGGTCTAAATCGGCTAACAGTAACAACTATAGTGTGTGTATTTAAACTGGACCCATTTGTGTATGTACATATAGGTTTCTCATGAAGAAGTGGGTCCAATTATAAATTGTGTTTAAATAGTCACCAACTTTTGCAAAATTGAATTCTTAAGTATTGAGTCCCACATACATACATTTTGCATAAGGAAATTCAAAAATAATTCAGATCCAAAATTTTGAGCCAGCTTGAGTACGTCTGATTACTAACAGTCTGTTAGTAACAGTTTGATATCAAAATAAATAAAAATCTTTTTGTATACATATATGTATATATGTAGATAGATATTTGAAATTTTTTCATCGCAAATTTATCTAGAGGGAGAAAAATGCTGAATGCTAAATTTAATTATGCACAAGTTGGTAGCTAATTGTACCATATTTAAGGCCAACTCGTCGGTAACTCTACCTTGAATTTGGGCCCCTCCAAACGCAGCCACTCGCTGAAACAGCGATGCTTGATTTCGTCGTAATAAGTGTAATCGGTAATTACGGTTGGACGTGTGGCAGGATTAAAGGCTTTGAATAAATTGTACCCCACAAGGGAGTGGAGATCTTCGAGTTCCATTAAACGCGGTAAGGCGTCTTTGCTTTCCATGGAGAATGTTAAATCTTTCGTTATCCTGAAGAAGCCGACAGGACTGTGACGAAAAGTGAGGTCAGAAGCAGTCGGTGGGGATTTGGTGTCGACCTTCAATGTGTTTGGCAGTCCGAGTGATAAATTTTGCATAGAGGTATCCAAATCCAAGTTTAATTTGGGACTGTTTTGATTGCGCCTTAACGAAAGAAGGAAACAAAATGGTGTTACCGGTTTGGTAGAAATATTAATTACTGCACCACCTAAACTCGCAATCTCCTTAATATTTTGAAAAATTCTGGGATTCCAAGGTAAATATGTGATTATTTATTACCTTGGCTCGAAGTTTTTCAGGACCAAAGCCAGAGACGTGACAACGTTGTCCGTGTCAAATTGTAACTTTGCCGTTGGCACGATGCATTTCAAAATTTTGTTAAACTTGTCCTTATCTGAAATACGGAAGTCTTCACTGAATCCCTTTTTATCCCCGGCAAGGTTGAACTCCAATCGGATAGTGTCAGTTGTTCGGAAGTATCTCGATTCCTCCTCCTGTAAAATTTCCCCGACTTCTAAAATGAGATTATACAGGATGGACTCCAATCTTAGCAAGGTCCGAACATCTGTCGAGTGAAGAAATCGACAAGTTTGTATACATTTTATGCAACACTAGCGTGTAAGCCCGTCTCCCTCCGGGCTAAAGTTGATTAGATTCTCAAAATTTCAACTACATACATAAATACATACTCGTAGACTAGTAAACTGCGCGTTCAAAAAAGAGGTCAACAAAAGTATTTACATTTTTTGTTATTTTTTTGGTTCATGTAAATAAACTCTGTCCCTATGTTCTGATCAATAATTACTTATTCCTATGTTCTGATCAATAATTACTTATTTTAATTTTATTTAACTTTACGATATTCAATATGTAACCATTCATGATGTGCAAAGGCTGTTGGCTATGATGCAATAAATCAATTATTATTAAATAAACTCTGTCTGACAACGTCGCAGATATTCTCTTGTCGCTAGTTCTTGAACGAATAGTTACATATGTATGTGTCAAACTTCTATACTTACCCCCAGCCGGTTTATTCACTTTAATCTTATCCTTCATAACCTTCGCCACGACAGGATCCACATCCCGGCCTTGTGCCCAACTGTAAATATTTTGAGCTGCAATGTTTCCAAATTTGTCCTTCAATTGGTCGAAGGGTATTCCAAAAATTTTGGAAACTTTGACAATGCTAAACGTTTCCATCAGTTCTTGACCCATACTTCCACCGAGGCCTGGAATGCTGGAAATATTAACGAGAGAGGACACCCTCCGAAACGCCTCGTCCCCCAGAACCGTAATTTTGCCCGGCTTGTTTAAAGAACATGCCACTTTTGCCATTAATTTATTCTTCGCTACGCCCGCGGAGGATTTGAGCCCAGTCTGATTTTCCACGTGGGTGCAAAGCTTGTTCATAAAAAGGGCGCCAAACATGAGACGCTCCTGGTTCTTGTAGGCATAAAACTTGTTGTCCTTCGCCATCCCGACGTTGTTGGTGGTCGGCTACAAATTAGTTAAACACTAGCAAATTTGTTCACATTCATTTATTCAATAAATAATGAATAAACTATTCAACAAATTTATGAAGAAGGAATGAATGAATATTTTTATTCATTATTCACTATTCATCATGTTCTTAACAAGAAGTCCATCTCATGAGGCAAATTTGAGATGAAACGAATAAGATATGAATAGTGACTTCTGAATAAGTATTGAGTTCAAAATTTTGAATAAATTAGTTGGAATGATGAATGTTTTTTAAATTGTTATATTCAATGAAGGCATGTTGTTTGAACATGTTGTTCTAGGTGTAATGTGTTTGATTATCATTAAATATTTGTCTAGTCCAAATATTTAGCTCACTTGATTGGGATGCCAATAGTTAAATGGTCCCCTTTTCGTCTCACGTTCCCGCTCCCAGATAATATTGGCTGGAATATTTGTTCTACGTCGCGCCATTGCTACTTGTTTTTTCTCCTTCAACTCCATACCTCGACTAACTTCGGCGGAAATATCGAAATAAACCTCGTCCGAAGACTCCACCTGAACAATGACGTCTTTGATGTCCCGCTTGGCTAAAAAGTTTTCGATTGCTTTCACGATTTGCGACGTTCCCAGGCGACACTTTGACTGGTCTTGTTTCCCATATTTGTCCGGTTTGGTAAACACGTGCAAATTTTGACACTTGTTTTTTGCCTTTTTCACCGTCGGGGTGTCCTTCCTATTGATTCCGAGCGCTTTCGCGGCATGCGTTACGGACACGATTCGTTCCGAGTGGGTGGCAACGACGCAGGGTAAAGATCTCGTGGCAGGATTCTCCCGCTGCCAGAGTTGACACTCGAATGCGTCGATGTCCATGAAACCGATGACCGGAGTGCTGCTGACCATTTGAGGGGATCGGGACGCCATTCTGGGTTTTCTATGTTATGATAGGAAAAACGGCCAAATTGTTGGACTGAAAAATGAAATAAATTTTGATTAAGTTTATCAATTTTTAAGGATTTTCATATCAAAAGTGTAAATTATTAAGGGTGTTCATTATTATTTTATCGTATTGTATGCTGTTCATTTGTTTAATAAATAATTAATTGTCATTCGTTATTTTTTATATTAATGAATAATTGATAAACTAGCTACGCTCGCCCCCCGGCGCTCTGCGCCTCGCTAAGATATGAGATGGAGACCCATAAGCCAAGAGCAATGTCCGCCCTCATAATCAAATAGTACGATGTTCCAACTTCGAGTCCGAACGTACACATTTTGCAAATATTCCTCATATTAGTCGAAAGTCATATTAATTTAAATACAAAAAAGTGTAAATACTAAATATAAATTTGTAGTTTATATTTCACATATAATTGCAACAAAAGTATTTGTACATATTTTGTACACTTCAGTCATTTTTAACCTCCATGGCTCAATTTTTTCAAGTACTGATGAGGGAGACCGCATTAAAATTTCATACTCTGACATTTTAAACTCATTCTTTATGCGGCGAGAAAGACTACCCCAAACCCATTTTTCGAAATTTAACTTTTTTTACGAAATTATGGCAAATTTTCAATTCCGATTTTTTTCTTTCAAATTACGAATAAACCATTCATCAAAAGCAAACACTCAAAGCAGGTACGGATATCATTCTATTCCTATTTTCATTAGGATCAATTTATGGATTAACAATTTTAATTTTTCGAAATTTTAGAAAAAGATAGTGCTAAATTCTGCTATCTTCATGGTTAACTTGTGGAAAACATTTTCATTTTCCGATGTCAAATTTCTGAAAATATCTAGACGCCTTTGACCTTATAGAGGAAGATATAAAAATTGACATCGGGAAATGAAAATGTTTTTTTTTTAATTCTAATTAAAAAATATCAGAACTTATAACAGGCTCTTACGCAGGGTTAACCCCGGAGTTTTTCCCGAAACCCCCAACCCCGGGGGTTTTTCCGGGGGTATTGGGATTTTTGTGGTTTTTTGTAGATTTTGGGGCAGGTTGAACCAAAATTCCTAAAATTATGTATTAGGGACAAACTTATTTAATAGACGAATTTATCCGGCATTTCTAATTCCCACCCCACCCACACCCAAATCCACCCCCAAAGTGGGGGTGGATTTGGGTGGTGGTGGAATTATAAATGCCGAATTTATCGTGCAATTTTAATTAAGCATTATCATTTACTTGGACTGTTGAATCGAAAATTCTTTTTTAACAAGTCGATCTGGAAATATGCAATGATACTTGGAAATTCAAGTCGCACATAAAAATTGTCAAAACTTCATGGTGAATCTGACAATTTAATTAGCATTGATCTAAGTTGTAGTTTAAGGGATTTTGTTTCAATCTGCCTTAAAATCTTACAAAAACCCCGTAAAAACCCAGCAAAAATCCACAAAATCCCCGCGAAAACACACAAAAACCCATTAATCATTAGGGGTTCTCCGGAGATTTGATGCCCCCCAAACCCCCAAAAACCCGGAGTGACGAACCCTGCTCTTACGTGGCGCATGTTTAGAAAAATCTAAAAGCCTTAATAGGTGGAAATTAAGTGTCGTAACCCAGTTACTTGAAGTATACTACCTGAAAGCAATTTTTAAAAATTAAACACAATTACTTCCATAAAATTACAAAAATTAATTTAAAACAAAAATTTTATTTGAAAAAATTATTGGTTTTGGCATTTTAAAAAATTCAGACATGGCATTAATATATCTAATTTCTTAATTTTTTTTAAATTTAAGGGAAGTTATTCTGAGCAAAAATTGGGTTTAACTTTTGAAATCGGATTAAAATTCGAAAAGTTACAGCGTTATTAAAAATTTGAATTTATAATGTTCTTGTCGAACAGCAGTGCAACAGAGCATCGAGTGTGTATAATTAACTCAATGTGTGCATATGCATGCGTATGCACTCAATATAAGTCTATATATATAGTCACGCAATATATGCTGCACTCAATGCATTCATTGTCGGCAATTAGCCTTAAATGCGCTACCGCCGCTGGCCTGGCTGTATCTATTAATGAGTAGTCTGGTCACCCCACATAGTACATGCATTCATTGCGATGTTGCCGGTGCTAGTGACAGGGCGGTTGGCTGAGTCGGGGAGCGCATGGAGAGCGAGAGAATGTGGCAACCTCGCAGTGAACCAAGACCACGCGTTCTACCTTAATAGTAGAGATAATTTTTTACAATTTTTGGTTCCATAAATTTTGAATAAATTACTATTCATTTATTTAATATGCATGAAAAACCGATAAATAATTCAATGAGTTAGTCATTTTTCATTCAATCCGTGATACATGGGATGTATTGCGAAATCTAGCTAATTAGGCGAATTTGAGGCTAAAGTTAACAAAGAATACATTATAAATAAATATTTGTGTGAATAATAAATTTGTAATAATTCAATACTGATTGAATATTTTTTTTTCAAATTGTCTAGCTTGTTGATTGAATTTTTAAAAACCAAATATTTTTTGAGCATGGTTCACCCTAAGTATTTCTCCTGTCGTAAAATTAATTACGTTATGACAGTTACGAAATTTTGTATTTAAAAGCGTCAAACACTCTAAACAATTTTGAGAAAATCGTCACCCTACGAGGAACCATAGCGCTTGATATTTAGTAATAGATACAGGGACATTATGTCGCCAACGGAAAATAAATCAAACACGCATAAACAAAACAGTGATGTCGTTATGTTAAAAAATTGAGCATTTTTATCCGAACACAAATTTCTTAATATCAAAGTGTTAATTTTTTTACTTCTCACCTGTGCGTCACGTGTAGGTCACGTGTGCTTAGTTCCACTTTTTTTACACGTATTTCCCGTTTAGTGACAAAGCGTCACTTTACCATTACCCAATAATTGAGCACAATAGTAACACAGAGGGTGGCAAATTCGTGATCAAATTATTTAGAATGCCCGTTACTAATAAACTCACGATTTTATGAAGCTTTATTCCTTCATGAACAGGATAAGTATTTTACGATGAGAATACCCTTAATATTTTTAAGACCGACAAATAAAAAATATCACTCACCTCTGTTCCACTAGTAATTACTTACTGAATATAGACAAGTTTATACATAACTACACGGCATGCTTAAATACATACATATATAAATACATAAATACGTTTCTTCCAAAAATGTTCGATAGGATGACTAATGTAGATAATCAATTAACTGTAGAAACGTTATTTGTTCTTTAAACAATAATTATAACACCATGGAAATCTTGGTTCTTATATACATATAAGCAATGCATACAATGCATACATGTATGTATGTACATACTCACTCCCAGAGCCGTGCCGCGAAATTTTCAGGCCTGGTATGAGCTTAAGTGCCGGGCCCTTTCATAAGTTCAATATCTTCGATATTATGTTATCGTTTTCGCTCCAGAATATTAGAGCATTCTGGAACGAAGTAGATAATATTCTACGAGTATTAAGAGCACATTATTTTCCCAGTTCCATGGGAAAATGGTGACATTTACTTGCGCTTTTAACTCAGCCATATTTTTGAAAACATCGGCGGGACGGAGAAAAATCAATTATATGAACCTAAGTTTCATAAATATGCGAATATGACATACTTTTCGCTACTTCCCAAAGCTTCCTAAACCCTTTGCGATTAATTACTTTTCTATCCATTTTAAAAATTTGAAAAAGTGCCAGACTCATTTCGAATTGGCGAAAATGCAGGTCCCAAAACTCAATTCCTTTTAGTTCTTAGACCACTTATTGTATTATTTCTTGAATTCAGGACATATTCAAAACCATCCAGTATGGTGAAAACCCAACGGTTTAGCTGAAGATACTTTTAAAATTGTACCAAGCGGTAAGAATAAAAAAAATAATTGTAAGCATTTGGGCCTGAAGCAGTCAGACTAACAATTCGATGACGCCAGCGGTCTAACTCCGATTTTAACAAAACCACGATAATTATGGAACCTTAGACAAATACTTAATAGAAAACGTGTTTCAGG